AAGCCGTCTCCAGCTATTATTAGTCTCAAAGTGGGTTCTTCGTCATCGAATATACTGGAAAAAGTTTCAGTTCATGCACTTTTCTACTGAAATGTATATGAAAAAGGTGTAATGAAGAATTGTTATAGTCTTATTACTTAAATTTCTTGAAAAATATGATTATTTTTCAGTCAACAATCACTTATTTCTGATGGCATAGAAATATGTTGTATTGTATGTTCTTAGTCATGCCGTCTTCAAGCTAATACAACTTAACAGGATTACTATGAAAAAACATATTTGGAACATTCATATGGCATTAAAATATTGTCAAAAGGCCTAAACGATCTTTTTTACATTATCTACATATTTTAAAATTTGTAGTGAGCTTAAAGGAATGTCAGAGCCTTTTAAAGGCTGCAAATGAATGTGGTATCACGATTTAAGTGGGAAGGACATGGTGTTTAAAACATGTATAAGAAGTGAAGAATTCAGATATGCTGCCTCCATATTCAATAGTAGTGACATTACAGAGCAAGAGATTGTTGAGTCCAGAGAATCAGTACTGCTGTACCTGTACAAGGATGATAAAGGAGAAGGGCCAGACAACTTGTGTGCCAAAAAAATGGTGCAAATCTACTAGATGTAATTGTAAGTAAGTAGGATTTGAGTAAAACACAGCTTGCAGCACACATAAAGAAGTCAGTTGCAAAACTTCACCATGATCAGATGTGAATGTTGACTAAAGATGTGAAAATTCAGCATTTTTGGTTCATTGTTTTCAACTTTCCAAAAAAAAAAAAGAATGCATACTAAAAATTCAGTCTTTGTAGGATTATTTTTGAAATTAGCCACATTATGGTTATTTTTCAATTTTCTTTAAAAAAAACTGTTGTAAAATATTAACCAATTATAACGTTTTCTTAAAATTAAAATGAAAATAAATAAATTTAAATATAAAGATCCAGAAAAATTATTTCTGCTATAGTTTACAAGTAAAGAAAAAACTTTTCAAAAAAGGAAATAAATGTTTGAATGTAGGAATATTAATCCTTCAAAAACAATGCAAACAAGATAGAAGGGATGGAATTTGAATACTATCATGTAGGGATGATGCAAATGCCATCCCTACTATCTTTTTTGTATTGTTTTTGAAGGATTGATATGAGTCATCCTTACATTTACTTCCTTTTTTAAAAAGTATTTTCTTTACTTGTTTTTTTAATGCAGTTTTTCAATAAACACAGAAAGGTTGTGTTTATAACGAAGTTCTAAATACAATGAGGTTCAAACTGTAATATTCATTGTTTATCTATTATTGGCTGGTGATTCCTGTTTCACCTTGTACTTAAGCTTTTAAAGGAACATCAAATGCCTGTAAAACAGCTAACTTCAAGGGGTAATGATAACATCGTTTACACAAGAATCCTGATTATTTTTTTTATTAGTGTTAATTATTAATAATATTTATAAAAGAGGGTACTCTGTTTGAAACTATGTCACCTCAGGGAAATTGGTTGACACTATTGTTTTGGTTTTTGAGTTATCATGCATTAAAAAAGAAGAAAGATGATCAATAAATTCAAACTTTTTGCTATGATATTTAAAGACATCCCCAGAACTTGACTCAGTCATTACATAGATATTGCTACAAAAAAAACTGAATAGTATTGTAAAGTTTTGATGACCTATTGAGGAGATATTTAAAATACTATTTTGATGAACAATCTGAGCCATCCCTATATAGGTAGTGCTACCATCTGCCTGATAGAATTAATTAATTTTTGTTAATTTTTTTCACTTCTTTCCTCAAAAAACATATTTAGCAAGCAGATCCCTGTGAGGATTTTTGATATGTTGTAAGTACTGCTTATCACAACTGAATACAACAGAAACCATTTCTCTTCTAATTTCTTTTGGTTGAGCAGGGTATTTTATTACATTGACTGAACTATATTTTCCATTATTTTCTTGTTAATCAGACATATTATTTACAGCACTTAAACTATAGTAAGTACTAAATAAAATACCTTTCATCAACTACAACAATACAGCTTCTATAACTTAAATGAAACAAAAGAGCATAAACAAAAATATTAGGAAAAACACCTAAACTGATTGTTTTCTGGGATTGTGCGAAAGAAGTATGGGTATTTTTCTCTGTTGTTGATCAGAGCACCCTCAGCACTGTAACTTATGATAATAGTATTGAAGTGTTTGGCAACTCCAGCAATAGGTTCAACAGTGTCAGAACATGCTGGACCTACATTGAAAAAAAAAAAAGTATCAATCTGCAGAGGTCAGTTTCTTTTGATTACAATCAATGTGCAAACATTAGTCACTATTAGATTTCTTATATGAGAAGAAAACTGTCCATAATAAATAACTATACTTTTATAACAATAAAAAAGCAGTTTACTTGATGTTCTAATAACATTAATCTCAGACCTCAGCTTGTGAATGAGCAAGCTCTCTTTTACTTAGAGGCTCTGTTCATCACTGGTCCTTGTTAAGATCTTCAACCAGTTACAATGGACAATAATGCCACATTCTACAAGGGCATGTTCAAGTACACTTAATTTAACAGAGGATCTTAGGTTAGCATATATTTTAACTCACGTTAATAGTTCTCTTTTAGTAGAACCAATATAGCCTTGCTAACAGTTAGGATAAGCAACTTTATAAACTACAAATCATGAATGTAAAGAAGTAAATCATTCCTTAAAAAAAATGTAAGCAACAATTAGGTTTAAACAGACATCACAACTATATCTGCAGATACACTCTTCTAATGACATTTCTAACTAATTTTAAAAATTAAAGAATATTTACCCATGTATGGTGAACTGATAACAACAGGATATTTAGAAACTTCAAATATACTTCATGTACTAACTTTTTGCTTACTTAAATAATTACAAAGTATTCTACCAATAACAAAAATCATAAAATCATTTTTAAATAAGATCTCATTGACATTATTAATTTTTTTATGAAAAGCCTTATAAGTGCTAGATAATTTATAGCACAATGAAACAGTATTTTGACTAAAAATCCTTAAACATATTTGGAATAAAACTTGCAAAATTAATTAAAATGCAAGCCTGTAAATGTCTTTTTTAAGGTGTAGTTCACATTCAAAATTACCATTATTATTGCTGATTAAAGTGTCCAAGTTATGGTCTTCCTTGTGTTGTACAGTAAACTTTATACTGCTATGCCTACTGTTCAAATATTGACGAAATTGGGAAGCTTGATCAGAGATTTCAAACATGTTAAATGTGTCATCAACATACCTGTGATAGTAGACAGGTATAAACTGTTGCAGACAATTTTCTAACCTTTGTTTTTCATAAAAACACAAAAATAGATTGGCCAAAGATGGTGCCAATCTCGAACCCATAACAAAGCTAATTGATCTGATCATAAAGCTTTCTGTTCAGAAGAAAGAGAGATTCTTCAATGGCAAAGTTCATTAATTTCAGAAAAACTAATTTATGAATAGTAACATTGTTGAAAACATCACAGTAAATTTGCTTAGGACTTAGCTGTATGGTTTATTCTAAAGTATATTTGTATATAATATCTCTACATCAATAACCACACAGTGTACATTACTATCAAACTTGAACTATTGTTTTTCATGAGAGAATTCAAAGCTATTCTTTAAAGAGTATTCATTGTTGGTAAACCTATTCAGAAATCCAACTAAAAAACAAGCTAAAGCATGGTCATACATTCTAATATTAGAAACTATAGTCACAACAGTGAGAAGAAAGTTAAGACATATCTTTACCACTCCTAAGCCATTTTATATAGTATTAACATTAATTCTAAATTCATTCTTGGTTCTGTGTGTATATATATATTGTTATGTCTCTGTATGTTTGTTTGTTAATTCTTCTAAGATACAAGTCCTCTCTCTTTACAAAACTTGTTAATTCTTCCTCAATACAACTTTGTAATGTACTTAATTTTCACAGTTACACACACTATAGTTCACAACAATTCACTCACTTTCTATCGCGTTTAGACTTAATTGTCCGTCCCCGCCAATTATAGTTCCGATCTCTGTGTCTGCTATCCTCAGTTCCCGCCAACCATAATCGCTGTCCTTCTTTCTCTCTGCCTCCATCTGTCTCTCTCACTGTCTAGCGTACTTATATACGATAATACTGCCTGTTCTAGAAACTTCTAAGACTCTCAACACGTGCTACCAGCGTCACTTGACTTCTGCTGTCATAACACACTAGCGAATCTTCTAGAATACTCTTCACGTGACCCCCACTGTCGTAACACTGCCCCTTCCTTAGTATTGTTCGTCCCGAACAATAGCCACTTACATTAAACTAATAAACAATTAACAATAACTTAATTAAATGTACATAATTTACAAACACAAAATTAAAATTCAACAGTCTTTTAATTTTTCGGAACATTTCTTCCGCACTGGTCTCTGTCTCGTTGGCTTCTGCTTCATGTGGGGTTCATCTGCTT